AAATATTTGAAGTATGGCATGCGTATGTGTTTTTCCTTACTAAGGATACTTTCAAAATTGATGAGATTATTTCCATCAACTCTAGTTATTTTTGGGTTACTCAATAAATGCCAAACATAGACATTAGTTAGAAAATTTTATTTTGGCAAAGTTTTTAGTGCTCAAAATTCTTCATGCGAGTTTGATTTTGAGCATAAAAACTGTATTTTAAAAGTGATGACTTTCTCGCATGTTTGAAAATGGATTTGGAGGAAACTTTATACAGAACATTGGTTGCCAACAGTAGTTTCGTTAGCCCTTGGCGTGCCATGGTTAAAGACTAGCTAGTTTGATTTTTGTGAGCTATGTTCTCATGTTTGTTATTTGTGAGTCTCGTACCTATGTTTGTTTTTATAGCTTCAAACTGTATTTGGTTAGCATTATCCTCATGGACTGTATATCCACGTTTGTTTTACAGCTCAAGCTGCGTTTAGTTATTTATTCTCGTAGACTGTGTGTCTACGTTTGTTTTCGTGGCATGTGCTGCATTTGGTTATTTACCTTTGTGGACTGTGTGTTCACGTTTGTGAATTGTTCTTATTTTTAATTAATTGATGATTTCACACTCTAATTATTTTTAATTAGCAAATATTAGTATTTTCATTTATGTATAATTATTTTGACTTGTCAAGATCAAATGTTAAAGATGCTTTGCCGTTATAAATTTAAAGTTTCTTAATATTGAAGTTATATAGAAGTTTTATTCTGAGCTTACAAATTCGTTTACATTGAATTACTTTTTCTTTACTTTATGTAACTATTATATTTTATTATATTCACTTTAATATTGTAAAATGTTATGGTTGGGACGTTTTTGATTGAAAAATATTTTTGGTCTCAAATAGCATGTATCTTTATCAGATCATTCAAGGGAGTTTACTACAGGATTGAAGTTGAGACATCATTTTGGTTAATATCTATTTTTGATGTAAAATTTTAATTTATATATTGTACTTTTATAAATAATTTTATAGGTGCTCCACATAGACTATAGTTAGAATCTTATTTTATAATATTTTATCTACTGGTTAGAAGGAACTGAGCTCCTAGATGATATAATATTTCTTTAAAAATTTGTATTATAAAAATTTTGAGGAAATCCTGCTCTCAAGGGAGAGCTTGTCGGAATTTTCACAAAAATATTAAGGCTTTAACTAAAGAAAAAATATTTTTAAAATAGAACATTGCTTGAATTAGGCTTAGGAGATATGTGTTTAGATATATATCTCATGCGAGTCATTTCCATACTGTGGGGTGTGACAATAGTGTAAAAAATTGGCATTAATAATCAACGCTGGGAACCCTTTGTTTCGGGTGACACTGCTTTTGAAAGAACAAGGAGGTTTTGCACTTTTTAAAACTTTATAATATCAATTGTGCCTCATGAAATGTTTAGAGGTGAATTTACACTTTAACCCTTAATTAGATGTGCTGGCCCAAAAAATGAATTAATTAGGTGTAAAATATTTCGTGGATGGACAATTTCAACTCACGTTTTACATGACAACAAATATATCATCCACATAAATAAGGAACTGTCCTCCTTTAATTACAAGTTCCCCATTCGAATACGATATTTCTTTACTAGCCTTTCAAATCAAACTCTTGAATCTTGTTTAAGATCATCTTGAGTGCCTTAGGCAGGCAATCGCACACATGTTGTTTTATGAAAAATATATATATATAAAATCTACGAATGAATTAGAACTGGTAATTTAGACGCACAAATTCAATTCAAACGAATTCAAATAAGCATGAACATTAGGGAAAAAAAAAACATATATGTCCAAGTCTAATCCCACCAATTCAATCTTTTGAGTTTATTCAATCAAGTCCAATAGCTTGAATTATTTTCATTTTTTTTAGCCAACTTCAATTTCAATATCTGTTATCAAAATCGGACCGAACCGACACCGGGAACCGAGAACATGTCCAGTCCATAATGCTACTTGAATCGGTCAAAAAGTGGACCAAGAGAAAACTACCAAATCCAGCTATGAATCGGGAAAAACTAGAAAAACCGGCAAGTTAGCTCTGTCGAGCCCAAAAATTGACCAAAAGACCACTCATGCCAAAAAAACTGAGAGCTCAGGAAGAAAAGGGGAGAAGTTGTAGAAAAAGAACAATAGAGAATATTGAAGAGGAAAGAACAATGGAAAAGGAAAAAAAAAAAAAAGAGCAAAAGAGCCTATTTGTTTTCTATTTTTAAAAATTACTTTTTAAAAAAATATTTGAATAAGTGTTTTTCATTTTTTTAAAATTATTTTCAGTTTTTGTTTTTAAAATAAAAAATAGGAACAACTTGAAGTTGTTTTCATTTTTTTTATTTTTAAAATATACTACATTTAATTATTGAAAATCATATTTATTTTGACCAATTGCTATTATTGATTATCATTATTAATTATCTATAACCATCATTAATAGTTTTTTTTTAATTTTAAAATTATTTTTAAATTTGCATAACAAAATAATTTTTTTATTTTATTTTTAAAAATAATTTTAAAAACTGTATTATAAAACAATTTTAAAAATAATAAATGAAAATAGAAACTGAAGCGTGAATACACATGTTTTTCATTTTGAAGCTCCATGATCGCCGGTGTCTAGCTATGCACCCTTCTTTTGTCAGATGACGATGTCTCACAGCATTTCACCATCTTCTCCTCGCCTCTGTAACTCTCTAAGAGCATGTTTGGATTAGTTTTTAACTTAAGTTAGAATGAATATAGTTGAGGTTAGAACATAAAAAGCTCAAAAAATATTGTTTGGATGAGCAAAAAATTTCAACTAAAGTTAGGGTATAAACGAGCGTTTTTCTCCAAGCTATGATACATAGCTTCTCCCTTCACACTGGCATTCAATGCTTTCTCTCTCTTCTCATCCACTGACTCGAGCTCCTGCTTTGCTTCATTTATTATTTTCTGTTCATTTACTATTTTTATTTTCTGTTCATTAATCTATTCACCTAAGCTCCAGCGTTAAATGTCAAAAAGTATAAAACATTAACAATTATTTTTATTTTTATTTTCTGTTCATTTATTATTTAGATTTTCCATCATGTCATTTTCCCTCAACTTTATATATTTATTTTATTTAAATTTAAGTTGTATAAAATTAGAGTGCATTTTTTTTAAAGTCTTGCTTTCAATGAATATATATATATATATATATATATATATATATAATAATAATAACTACTTGTGTATATATAACAAAAAAATATAACATAAAATTGAAATTTTATAAAACTTGATTTTTAAGTTTAATATTTTTTATTTATTAATTAGTTAAAAAATATAAAAAAAATTATGTTTAATTTTGTTATTAAATATTTCAACTGACTTTTGAATTAAATTATTTAAAAAAATTTCAGTTTATCTAACTTATTTTTAAAAAAATATCCAAACATAAATTACTGAATTTTTCTCTAATTTTAATTTATTAACTTTAATTAAATTTTAATTTTAATTATAAATTTTTTAATTCAAATACAAACTAAAATGGGTTCTGAGTTGAGAGACAGCGTTTGTGTATTTGGCAGAAGAGAGAAGAGAAAAGAAGTGTTAAATCAACGGCCAAGATTTTTTTTAAAAGATAAACGGTAATGATTGTTTTGTCTTTTGTTGACAAGCAAAAACGCTGGCAGCCCATTACTTCCCAATGCACACACACTCTCTCTCTCTCTCTCTCCAACACTCACATGTAGCCTTTTAAAGTCCCAACACCTGCAAAATTAAAAAATGGCGCCAGATTTACATGTAATTGAAATTAAAATAGCATTTTTATTTTTAATACTACTATAAGTTTTCGTATGTTAAATCATAAATTTTTATTCATGTTTGTATTTTTAAAATTTATTTTTATTTTTTATCTTTTGACTATTTAAATTGTGCATGAATTAAATCATGTTAATTTGGCATATGTGCGACTGATATAAACAAATATTACAAGATACTCCCTTGTGAGTGATCTTTAAGCATGCATAACAATATATGAACAAATATTGATTAAATCATTTTTTATTCTTATGTATTATTTCAAAAATATTATTTCAATTTAAAAAGGTCACGATCTAATTACAATCCGACCATGGTTCAGTGAACTGGTATTGTGACCAGTTTAATGCCCGTACAGTTCTGATAATATTGATTTTGATACCTTTAAAGATTAAGATTTTTTTTTTTTTGGTACACAAAGGGATAAAGCTCAAGTGAAATTAGATTGAAACTAATCGTGGGCAAATCAAACCCAATCTATTCCTTTATAGTACATTAAGTAAGCCTTTAAGAGATTTTTTTTTTTTTTACCAACACAACACTGCAACATATCATAAAATGAACAATACAAATCATGAAAATAACATCAACATAAACACTAAAATTTGGGAGTTGGTTCAATAACAAATTAAATATAAATAATAAGATAATATCATGAACAACCAAGTCACAATCGAATAGGGTTGGCATGTCAGGCTTAGTTTGAAATACCAACTCCCGGATGACAATTTACTAATCAACATCTCCCACCAGACTTTTAAAAGTATATATATATTCATTATGTAGCTTCGGCTGTCATTTGGTCTGCCTTAAATTAAGTGGAGTATTTGCTATCATCAGTCCGTTATCATTCGGTCAAAAATGGCGCCTCCATGAAAGGGATGAATAATCCTTTATCCTTGCCAAGAGGAAATCAAGGGAATAAAAAATTGACTATTTTCCTGACATGCCTCAATTCTCAGTTTCACCAATGGAAAAAAAAAAAAAACCTCAAAATTGAAGCTAGCCACTACTAGCTAAGTCTGTACTCAATAGTTTAATACTTTAATTATCAGAAAAGACAACCAAATTTCTACGAATTGCATCACCCGCGTGGAACATTCAACCCCCTTGTGAGTGATCGATCATATCGAAATAGAACAGAACCCTCCATTAGTTTATTATTGGCCACTTCACTGGATATCCTCTCTTTCTTCATCTTCTTCACATATCTTCACGACCAAACTTCACAGAACTATGCGCCAACCTATTACTCTCCTGCTTCCCTTATTTACTACCTTCTTCATATTCTGCTCCCTCCACGGCGCCGTTTCGGACCCCCAGACCTATCTTCTAAGCCTTGACTGCTACCAATATGACAGAGATGAATATGATGCTAATAAATCCTTCAATGACAGCGTAAGCGCAGCTCTTCGTGACCTCAGATATCAGGTGGCGAACCAGAGAATGTCCTTCGCCACCTCAGAGCAGTGGTGGGGTACCGACATAAGCCTCACCTTTTATGCTGTCTTCTTATGCCGAAACTACCTCTCCGTCGCCGACTGCGTCGCCTGCTTCACCGATGCTGCAGCTGAAATCCTCAACTGCTCCGCCGGGACTAGCTTTGCCCGTGTCATCTACGACGGCTGCTTCCTCAGGTACGGCTTCTTTCTTGTTACTTAGTTTCAAATGTTTTCCCCCCTTAACCATGTTGTTGAGAAAATTAGTAAAATAAAAGATAAATTATCGAGATATATATATATATATATATATATATGACCGCAATATTATTTTTCTATAAAATGTTATGTGGTACTGTATTTATAATAATTTTCTAATTATTCTTAAGATATGAATAGGGGTGTCATCGTAAGGAAAAGTTTAATATATATAGAAGATAACAGAAACAAGAGGCCTCATGTTGAGGACTAAATCAAAACTTACAAATACATCTTATAAGTATTTTGGATACAAATTAAAGACTCCTATAACTAATATGACTTATAATGAAGAATGGAGATAGCAATACATGTAGCATTGGGCTTTTGATCTTCATTTAGGGTGCGTTTGGTTTTCCTCCGTTTCACGTTCAGAAAGTAAAATTTTACTTTCAGAAAGTTGAAAGTTGTTTGGGTAAAATATTTGGCAGAAAAAGCACATCCTGAAAGTACATTCAAACAGTAGCTGAAAGTGAATTTCTGAAACGTAACTGTCTGAAGCTTTTGAAAAGTGGATTTGAAAAGTAGGATGTTATTTGACCATACTACCCTAAGTTTAATCTCTTATTTTTTATTTAAAAAATAGTTAATTCATTAAAAATATAATTATTATTTTAATAATAATAATTAGGTATCAATTTTTTTAGTATTATAAATTAAGTAATTAATCATGTTAATTTTTAGCATTAATGTATAATAAAAATTACAAATCTTTATTACATCTTTTAAAATTACAAATTAAAAAATACAAATAATTAGAGATCAAATTTTTAGCATTATAGATCAAAATTTATGTTATTTATAATCTTTATTATATTTTTTAAATATTTTGAATATATTATATTTTTATAATAAAAATTATAAATCATTATAAATCAATGTCCTTTTTGGTAATTGTACATTCAAAAGCACATTTCACTATCACAAACCAAACAACTTTCAATGTATCAAACTGACTTTTAAAAAAATATATCCAAACACAAATTTCGTTACAATAACTGACTTTCATTAAACTGACTTTCTCCAAATGAACTTTCACTAAATGAACTTTTGACAAACTTAAAACCAAACGCACACTTATTTTTGGTTCAGCTATTTAATATATTTTGATGCGGACCAGATGGTCGATCCAACAGGGGATTGGGAGAGCAGAGAGCTGCTGGAGACGATCGGGTCCTATATCTTGCCAAAGGTATTATATACTCGTTAGTATTATAATTCTCAAAGTTTCAAAATGACCTTGAAATAAAAAAAATATGTGGATAACATTTTAAAAAAAATAACGGTAGCCTTCCTAAAAAATTACTCTAGGAATCTATCTTTATAACTTAAATTGAAGTGTCATATTAATTTCATAATCATAAATTGTTAAAACTAATATTATAGTACGTCAATTTACCTTCTTAACCATTGTCTCTTGTGCAATCTCATAACTCATCCACAAAGATTTCCAAGCAACACAAAGATAAAAAATTCATCCTCTAAAAAAAAGCAAAGCCAATAATTAGAGCCAAACCTAAAAGTTTATGGTCGAGCTTGACTATATAAGTTTTTATATTTATTGAATTATATGGGTTTTTGTATATATTGAACTATTTTAAACTCAATCCAAATAAACCCAACCCGAATAAGCTTCCAGTTCTAAGAAAAAGCAAATACATGTACTATTAGCTATATATAATCCATATTGAGCAAGAAAAATTGATATGATGGGATACTTTGCCGCGTGTTGAGGTATGAGGATACCAATTTTAGGGACGAGCCAAAGAGTATTGCAAATCCTGCGTTGTGTGGGAAACAGACTCCAGAAGCAGCCGCAGGATTTACTTCAGCTGCTCAACAACTCTTAATGAATGTTCAAACAACAACACCCAACGTCACTGGTTTCCAGGCGGCTGTTAAGACTCAAGTGTCTAATAATGGACCAACCATCTATGCCTATGCTCAATGTATTCAAAGTCTCTCACAGAGTGAGTGCGAGATTTGCTTGATGCAAGGTTACAACACTCTGCAGACTTGTCTTCCCGGTTCAGATGGTAGGGCTTATGTAGATGGCTGTTTCATGAGATACTCCACCACTTTCTTCTTTCCCGATGACCAGACCATTATTATCACTCCTTTAGCCATACGAGGTATAGTAACATTTTTCATTCAAAGATTAAACACAACACAACAATTTGCTTTATTTATGTCTAATTATGAATCACATGCTAGACATTGTTATATATTACGTGCATGATAAATTTTAACATGATTATTTCTTATTTTAACTTTTAAATAAGTGTTGTGCGTGTGTGATATTATTATATATATATATATATATATATATTCCTTCTCTATTTTCCTATGTTTCAGGTTCAAGCAAGAAGGGGGCAATTATTGGTGCAATTGTTGGAGGGGTAGCTTTTGTTCTTATCCTCCTTGCACTATTGGCTTATATTAGACGATCAAAAAGGCGTGAGAGAGTTTCTAACGGTAAATTAAATCAACTAAAAAAGTAGTATTCATCTAATATATTTATCAGTTTGTAAATATTTAATGGGATGTCTTGATTTTTCACCTTTTTCCCTCCAAATAAAAACTAAAAAGTAACGGACTTTGTCTTTGAAGGAATCCTGACTGGATTTTATAATTTATGATAAGACTGATTAATATATCTTTTTCTTAGCTAATGGAGACATAATTGGAGAGAGCAGCAATTTGATAGGCAGCCCAGTTAATTACAGCTATGGGGATTTGAGGTTTGCAACAAAAAACTTCAGTGTAGAAAATAAACTTGGAGAAGGAGGATTTGGTGTTGTATATAAGGTAACTATATATTTTGAACTCCAATATTTTGCTGGATCATGTTCCAAAGCAAGGATGTTTCTATATTAAAAGTTCAGATTTCCAACTTCCAATAACATTTTTGTGGTTGAAATTCTTAATCATCATGACCAGGGCACTTTAAAAAATGGAAAAGTTGTTGCAGTCAAGAAATTAACTTTATGCTACTCCAAGAGAGTGGAGGAAGAATTTCAAAGTGAAGTGAAGCTTATAAGTAATGTTCATCATCGGAATCTTGTTCAACTTCTTGGATGTTGCAGTAAAGGCAGTGAGAGAATACTTGTTTATGAATACATGAAAAACACCAGTTTGGATAGATTCTTATTTGGTATATATATCTTCACTTTTATCAACCGACAGATCTTTTACCTATAGTTCTTTAAGCATTAGCTGTTATACATTTTAATAATATTATGACATGAGGACATATTTTCGACTTAACAATATATCATTAATTTCTTTAACAAAAATTCCTTCATATGTCATAACTTTATTGAAGATCTTTTTTATGTTTTATCTCTATTTTTTCCTCTAACCTTCATAATGGATTAACTTGAGAAATAGGCAAAATGAAAGGTTCTCTTGACTGGAAGCAGCGATATAATATAATTTTAGGAACAGCAAAAGGATTGTCATATCTTCATGAAGAATTTCATGTTCGTATTATATACAGAGATATAAAGACTAACAACATCCTCTTAGATGAAGATCTACAGCCTAAGATTTCCGATTTTGGCTTGGCAAGACTTTTATCCAACGAAAAATCTCATCTCAACACAAAAGTTGTAGGAACATTGTGAGTCATAATAATTGATTTTGCTTTTATGCAGTTAATATGAGCTATTATTCTAACGAACTACATTATAATTATTATGTGTTTTTGTTAGAGGATATGCAGCTCCAAAATATGTGATTCATGATCAATTATCAGAGAAGGCTGATATCTATAGCTTTGGTGTTGTAGTTTTAGAAATCATAAGTAGTAAAAAAAGTAATGAATTAAAGATTGACAGTGATGCCGAAGGTGAATTCCTCCTACTAAAGGTGAGAAAAATTGCCATTACCACATAAAAGGCAGTTTTTTTCTTTATTTTTATTAGATAACTTTTTTAGATAATTTAAATGTATGATTTTTTTTTAACTTAGCTTAACTTACTCCTTTTTCATAGCTATTCATCTTACTCCATTTAATTTGGCTTTAATCTCAAACTTGGTAGGCTTGGAGACTATATGAAAGAGGCACACACTTAGAGTTGATCGATGAGACCTTGGACCCAAATGATTATGATGCAGAGGAAGTGAAAAAAATTATAGAAATCGGTTTGGCTTGTACACAAGCATCTGCTGAATTAAGGCCAACAATGTCTGAGGTAGTTCTTTTGCTCCGCAACAAGGGATCATCAGAGAACATAAAACCCACAATGCCTATCTTTATTGAAGCCCATTAGGTAAGACCAAGGACCGTAAAGGAGAATAAAGGAAAATGAATTGGGGTGGTGATGATTATTGTGGGTGTACCATTTTGAATAAACTTTATTCAACGCCCTTGAACTTTGGTTAGATTATAAATATCCTATTTGCCTTTCATTAAAAACTAAGTAAAATAATCTGGCAGTCAATTATATTTTTAATTTCTTAAATAATGAATATAGATTTGTGGGAAAGCTTGTTCTCTAACTCGCACGCACACACTCTTTGATATATATTAACAGGGGCGGACCTATGCTGGTCCCGTGAAACATATGGTAGCGTCTGATGCAACCCCCCTCCCATAAAAAACGGTCTCTATGAATCCTTTTTTTTTTCTAAATTAAAACGAAACCACACTGCATCCTAGTTATTTATATAAAGAAAAAATTAATTTTGTAGTCCTTCAACTTTTAATTCACTTGTAACTCAGTCCCTCAATTATGAGTCATTATGATTCAGTCTCTCAACTATGTCTCGCTTATGACTCAGTCCGTCAACTTTTGAATTACTTACAAATTAATCCTTGAACTTTTGTTAATTTTTTTTTCATATTAGTTTATATCTCACATCAATAAGCAACAGGAAGGTATTTTAGAATAATATATGAACATTTTTTATCCCTCTTATTTGATAATAAATTTTTAAAAAAATTAAAAATAAGGACTAAATTATAGGTGAATCAAAAGTTAAGGGATTGAATCGCAGCAAGTTATAATTGAAAGACTGAGTCGCAATGACTCATAGTTGAGGAACTGAGTTACAAGTGCGTTAAAAGTTGAAGGATTAAAAGATTAATTATTTCTTATATAAATATGCTTATAAACATTATGTGTATATAATACAATATGTATACATTTCTTTTCTTTTTTGTACTTCTTTGATCCTATCTATAGGAAAAAAGAGAATACTTATTTTGATCATATTTATAAGACGTCTTAGGATTCGTTTGGTTTTTTTCTGTTTCACATTCAAAAAGTAAAATTTTACTTTCAAGAAGTTAGAAGTTGTTTGGATAAAATATTTTACAGAAAAGCTATCACGTTCCAAAAATGGAAGTGACTGACATGGGATGTAAACTACATCACACATTCCTTAAGTCTCAAATCGAGAAATTATTCCATTTCTAAAACATAGTTGGATTTATATTGAAATTCTGGCATCCTTAATAATATTAATTATAACGAAAGCTTCAACATTTTTGAAAAAAAATTAACAAAACTTCCTCAATAAATAAGGTCTCCCGAAATCTCTACAATAAAAAATATTACAACATGTATTCAATAGTTTAGAACTTCGCTCCTCAACAACAAACAGTCAACTTAGGAAGGTAAAATCAGGATTCTTTCTATAGTTAACATCGAGCACCTAAACATAATTTTAAAATAAAGCACATAATTGAATATTTATATTAAAAGAAAAGGCATTTCCAACAATAAATATTCACCCACCACAGTTGTAAGCCCCTCAATGATAGGCAAGAGGTCCAACATTAGCTAATGAATCCTAGACCAAAAATATTTTTCAATGAATAACATTCCCCAAAAATAAAATTTAAAAGAGTAAAAATAATAAATTCAAACAATTAAGCAAACTAATTGAAGGTATGATAATTCAATATAATAAACTTAATAAATCTATAAATTTTAATCATAACCATAAAATGAGAATGAATTGAAAATTGCTTTATTCTATGAGGCTTGAAGAAAACAAATTATCCACATATAAATCAAAGTAATAAATTAACTAACTGAAAGCATTAAAATTTCAAATACCACATGTTACGTAAAAATCTAAAATTTTGAAAACATAACAGAATAAGTAACAAACGTGGACACATAGTTCATGAAGGCAAATAATCAAACGTGGCTTATACCACGAAGACAAACGTAGACACACAATCCACGAGGACAAGTAATTAAATGCAGTCAAAGCCATGAAACAAACATGGACACACAATCTACGAGAGTAACGATAACTAAACGCGGCGTAAAGCCACGAAAACAAACATGGGTACAAAACCTACGAATAACAAACGTGAGAATAAAGCTCATGAAAATCAAACTAACTAATCATTGACCATAGTGCGCTAAAGGCTAACAGGACTGTCGTTAGCAACCAGCATTCAGTATAAAGTCCTCTAAAAATTACTTTTCAAACATGCGAGAATAATCATTTCTGAAATGCATTTTGCGTTTTCAATATTAAACTCGCATGAATCATTTCAAATCTCAAAGCTTGCCATAACAATATTTCATAACTAATGTACAAGGTTGTATGAGTTGAGTAACAAAAATTTTCAAAGCTAATTAAAATAATTTCATCTAAAAAAATATAATTCATAAGGAAAATACATGTACATGTGATAAAATAATTTAATTAACAAGTACCCAATAATTATTATAATAATTAAAAAAATTTTATATAAAAATATAATATTTCAATAAAAGAACTTTTATTAATAAATTAACTGTGATGCTATTCACTCACCTGCTAATTTCCCAAAATCCAACAATTTTCTCCCATCAATTTTTTTTATCAAAATCCTCATCTTCCACACACCCTATAAGAGTAGGTATAAACGAAACCTCAATTTACTCCCTATAGTTATATAAACTTCATCCTACTACCAACACAATCCCAACCAATTGCAAGTATTCAAAATTCCAAAACCAAAATTCATATCTTAATAATTTTTCAAACATCAACACTTACCACCAATTTACCTCATATCACTTAATCATGACTACTATTTAAATGAGGTATGATTTTCTTATATCTTGTATCAAACACCTTGTGTACATAATTTTCAATCCATTCAATAAAGACTTTTTAATCAAACACCTCTAGCCAAACAATTTTTTTTTTAACTCCTACAATTAAATTGATCATACTTCTATCACCTATTTTTATCAAATATCTTCAACATCGTCAAAATCAAAAGATAAAACAACACTATAGTTGTAAATTTCTCAATATACCACTTCTAAGAATTCAACTAACCACCTTATCATTTTAAAATTAGATTCTTTGCAATACCCAAACTTAACTCATCTAAATAACATTTAAATCAGCTATGCTTTGTCTAATTTAATGGAATCTCAAAAATGCTGTCCCAAGCAAAAATCCTATTCTATTAACTGAGATACATTCTCAAATGTCCTTTTTCTTTCCATAATTAACAATTAATACAGAGGAAAGGAAAAGAAAACATGCGGGCTTCTCAAGCTCAACTCCTCCCAAATCAATTAAGCTTAGAAAAGATTCAAACTCACATCTATATCCCTCTCGTAGCAACAAATCCATGAATAGATATTTCTTTTCTTCTCCTCTTTTATGTTAATTTCAGCTTGTTTGAATCACAATTTGTCCTTCCCAGTCAAACATGTACAGCAGCACAGAGGAGTAAAATTTTCTTCTTCAATTATCAAATCATACACCCACACATACAGAATCCACAAGAAGGAAAGCATATCGTTTCTCACCTTAATTAGCAATGACAGAGAAAGGAAGGAATAGGAAGGAGGTGACCGAACAGACGAAACAGGGGAAAATAGAATTAATCACTCAAGCCACCAACGGCCACTGCATTCATCGATGGCGCACAGCTAGAAATAAGGGGAAAGAAGTTCGAAAACACCCACAGAACAGGAACGCCACAGCCACAGACAAAGACGTAGAGGAAGGGAGAAGAAGATCTGAATGCACCCATAGCCACATGAACCTAAAAGCACAATCGACGTCGGCATTTTTAATCGAAGAAGGAAGACGCTTGAACGGCGACACCCACAGCATCGGCGATGGCAGCAAATAGATGAGGTGGAGAACTAAGATTTTCAGCCAGAGAGAATGAAGCTTCTGGAATAAACTCCCTCTCCATGTTTAGACGCAAATTTATCGGGAAAGGAGAGAAGAGGGATAAAAAAGAAATTCTCATACTTTAAGTTAGGGCAGTAGGGTAATTTCACAGGGCTTTTTCAGCTTTTAGATTCGATCCCTTAAATAGAAAGTTAGACACCAGGAGAATTTCCATTAAGCCACCTCATCTTTCTTCTTACATTTATCCTAAAATTAATAAAAATATATTTAAATATCTCATCAAAAATTTTAATTTAATTAATTTAATTATTATTACTTTATTTTATTTTGTTTTGCTTTTTTTTTAATTTTGGGTCATTACAAAAGCACGTCCTGAAAATACATTTAAACAGTAGTTGAAAGTAAATTTTTGAAACGTAACTATTTAAAGTTTTTGAAAAGTAAATTTAAAAAGTAAGATATTATTTAACCATACTATCCCAAATTTAATCTCTTATTCTTTTATTTAAAAAATAGTTAATTCATTAAAGATATAATTATTATTTCAATAATAATAATTAGGTATCAATTTTTTATCATTATAAATTGAATAATTAATCATATTAATTTTTAGCATTAATGTATAATAGAAATTATAAATCTTTATCACATTTTTTAAAATTACAAATTAAAAAAATGCAAATCACTAGAGATCAAATTTTTAGCATTATAGATCAAAATTTATGTTATTTAAAATCTTTATCACATTTTTTAAATATTTTAAATATATTACATTTGTATAATAAAATTATAAATCATCATAAATTAATATCTTTTTTAGTAATTGTACATTAAAAAGCACATTTTATTATCACAAACCAAACAACTTTCAGTGTATCAAAGTGACTTTTAAAAAAATGTATCCAAACACAAATTTCATTATAAAAACTGACTTCTACTAAACTAACTTTTACTAAATGGACTTTCGCTAAATAAACTTTTGACAAACTGAAAACCAAACACACACTTTATTATTATTATTATTATTATTATTATTATTATTATTATTATTATTATTATTATTATTATTGTGTCTATTTTTATCCTTTTGTTCATATTAAATTTTGGAAATATTATTAAATGTTAAAATATTTTATTTTTAATATATGTATATTTAATAAAAATAAAGTTAGAAACCTGTTAAATTTTTAAATAGAGTTAATAAGATTTAAGATTTTTTTTTCATTCCAATGAAAATATTGGGAGTGACTGATAAATTGGATTGGAGGGAATATACTTTAATAAAATATATATATATATATATATATATATTATATTTAGTTATTTTGATAAATGGGATCTTGTATTTTTTTTCAAATTTCTTGAAA